TGGAGAAATTTAACCAAAAAATGCTCCGGCGTGTTCACATTCAGGAGAGATAATTGAATTTTTGCAACCTCTGTGATGAGAGATGAAGAGTAGCATGGCCTGATGGGAAGTCCATCCCCATGTCTGAGACTTTAATTCCTGCTAAAGCACAGACTGGGATGTGTGAGCTCATTATTTCCTGTATTTAGTAAACCATATTTAACTAAAACGTCCCTTATGTGCTTTCAGCCTTTGAAAGTGATGAGGAGATCAATATCAATTTCCACTGCTTTGTGTGATAAGTAGAGGTCTGGATTATGTGTTAAAAGTGCCCATGAAACCTAATTCAATGCTTAAACGTTTGCACGTAGTCTGTATTCAGAGTGGAGGCTGCTACTACACTGTTTAGGACAAAAAAAGTGGAAAAAAGAGCGGAAAATTAACCCCCACATGGTCCAACGCCTGGTCTCCTGCATGATCTCATTCAGGTCCAAAAGCTCTGAAACAGGAAGCACTTTGTTTGTTTTGTTTTTTCCCCTGGACCACAAGGTGAGTCTGAAAATGAGCCAAACAGTTTTGCACAATGGAGACAAATAACTTCTTATTTTATGAGTCGTCACAGAGCAGATGTTAAAGCAGGAGGATGAGGGATGGGGGTCCGTGTCAGAGGAAGAACTCATAAACGACCAATAACTGAATGAGGCTTTTGTTTTTGTCACGTCTGGGGGAATGTCTGGTGTGTTGTCATGTGTTGATTACCTATTGTGTTCACCTGGGGTTCCCCTCCCTCATGTGTTTAAATAGTCCTCGTTTCCAATGTCCTGGGCCAGTGTGTTTTTGTCTCTCGTCTCCCCACGTCACGTAAGGTTTTGCTTTTTGCACCTTACCATAGCCATGTTTTTGCCATAGCCTTGTTTACCTTATTTGATACTTTGTTCATGTTTTTGCCACAGCCATGTTTTTTCACGGTCATGTAATCTTGCTTTGTTACTTTGTTCATAGTTTTTTCACAGCCTTGTTTTGTCCCATGTCTACCATCCACTCCTTTTGAGTGTGTTTTTGTTAAAATAAACCCTTGTTTCCATATCTCCGCGACTGAGTCCTCCCTTCAAGATCCACCTCCCCTGACAAGTTAGCGCTCTAATTCTGATGTAATTCACCCAAAAGCTCATTCACCGACTCAAAAAGCGGATATTCTATGAGAACTATTTTGTCACAGCCATGCCATAGTCTTATTCACTTTTTTGCCATAGCCTTGTTTTGACCACAGCCACGTTAATCTTGTTTGTACTTTTGCCATAGTCTTGTTTTGATCCTTTGCCACAGTTTTGTTATCCTTGCTTTGTTACTTTGCTCATAGTTTTGCCACAGCCTTGTTTTTGACACCATGTCTGCCATCCACTCCTTTTGAGTGCCTTTTTGTTCCAATAAACCCTGTTTTCTCCCTCAAGACCCTCCTTCTTGACCAGACCCTGGAGAGGACCGGACCCAGCTCCACACCTCTGTTTCTCCTCCTCATTATCTCCATTATCTCTCATTCCCACTCCACTTTGCTCCTCCGTTTCCCACCGTTTCCCGCTAACCTCCACATCGTGTCAGAATCAAAATCAGAAATATTTGAATAATCCCAGAGGGAAATTATTAAATTATTATATATTAATTATTATATAGTAAATATTATATATTAAATTATAATTAATTATTTATTTTTGTCGGCGTGACTGCTGAATGTGCTGAATATGATATAA